AAAATGAGATTTTTTTATTTTATATATAAAATTACTGTAAATCTACTATGAGTTACTGTAACTTAAAAAAAATAATTTTAAAAAAATTACTAAACATACATATATTTAAAAGTATTTTGTGATTGTACAAAAAAACTTTCAACCACAATTCCAAACGCACCCTTAATTTTGTTATGGTTAAGATCCTAAAATAAAAAATAAACCAAAAAGAAATGTCAAGTTAACTAATTTTTATATTTATCAAATTTTGGTTAACTGAATTAGGTAAACCAAATTAAATTTTTTTAAGAAATAAATCACAATTTTTATTAAATATATAAAGATTTTTTCTTTAAATATTATTTATTTACTATATAAAAATATATATTCAAAATAATATAAAAGTCAAACAAACAAGTAAATAAATAAATAAATATATATATATATATATATTTTCCCTCTAACCAAACCAATGGATTGTTTTCCCGATGGGAAATTATCTCAGACCATGCAAACAGTCCAACACAATGTCATTGCATCAACAAGTGAAAAAAAGGTGCTGTACAAACAAAAACAAAATGAAAAAGGGATATAAAAAAATTTCTATGGGTAGGCTATTTATGCCTTCACTCTTCAATTCGGAATTGCAACCTCTTAATCTATCCCCCAAGCCTAAAATGACAACAATAAACAATTTGTTCAAGTTGAGAAAAAAAATTCTGATCTAAAGGAACAAAACCATAAAGTAGGCTGCCTGAGGATCCAAGCAATACCCAAACTCGACAACCATGCAGCCCGAGAGAGAGAGAGAGAGAGAGAACAACCCCAAACCTAATGAACTCGCCACGTCCAAACTTTCCACCCAACTACCAACCACTGCCCATAAGCACCCCATGTTTCACCGGAAACCCCCTTCAATCTATCGCCATCTCCAAATTCACCAATTATAACCCTACCAAAAGCCTCAAATCAAATCATTAGATTAAGAATGTTGTTTACATACATACATAGATCAGTTAAATCTTAAGCCATTGAACTTACTAGGGCACATTTGTTTGGGTGGGAAATAAAAAAAAAAAAGAAAGAAAACCCACTAAATGCCTAAAATTTATGTAATTGGGCAGCCAAATGAGATGAAACTGCCAAGTAAGCAATAATGTTATGGAATTTGGATGGCATGTGACCTCACATGTTGTCCTTAAGTTTTTTGCTTTAAGTTTTTTCTATGGCCGAAATGCTCTCTAAGTAAGTTTGGGCTTAAAATTTGCCCTAAAAAGTTAAGGGCTTAAACTCGTGCCTTAGTAAGTTCAAGGATTTAAGACTTAATTCAACTTACATAGATCATTTTTTTATTTACTGTCAAGATCCTCAATGTAATTTGTGCGTATTTTAAAATTAATCCATTTTTAAGTAATTTTAAAAATGTATCCCCAAATCAATCCGATAAATTTAAAAAAAAATTTAATTTTGGTATTGATCTCAAACCTTAAACTTAATTTATAAAATGACACTTATTTATTAGTGAATTTAATTATTGAAATTAATTCGACTCATATAAATCATGCATATATTGATTGAATATATTCTACTATTCTACTAAACAAATACAATATGTTCAACTATTTAATACCAAGAAAATTTTAATCAAACTGGTATTCGGGAATTTAAAACTTTAATTTTGAATCAAGAGGTGGAATTTAGACTTTTATAATATCAAATAGCTCATGATTTATAAGAAATTAACTATGTACAATGTATAAGAATTCCTTAGTATAAATTGATGTAAATCAAATTCAACATAAGAAAACAAAAGTTAGGTGGGGTATAAATGGCTCTTCCCATTTGTTCTGTTTGATCAAAATACAACAAAATCAAAATCAAACAAACAGTACTTTATAGAAAAAATAAACATAATAAGAACAAAAAATTGAAAATCCGGATTCCAATTATGCTGAGAAAACGTAAGCTAGGGATTTCAACTTTTGGGGTTAAATAAAAAAAAAAAAAAGAATTATTTTATGGCGGATTTCTAGCTTTTACAGCAAAGCACTAGTTTGACTGTTTTTTTAATTCTTTCTAGTTTTGTGCACTTTTTACTAACTCATATCCGACTTCTTATTTACTCCGCCTTTCATACAATTTCGAGGCGAGGAAAAACCTTTTTCCAAAATTCCAAAATCACCCTTTCAATTTTAGCTGTTGTTCCATTCATGTCCTCCTTTTTAATATTTCTAACTAAATTAGTGTTAATAAGTTAAATTTATAAAAAAATTATATATTTTTATAAAGTATTAGGAAAAAAAAATTAAAACAATCTCATTTTTGCTTTAAAAGCTAACACTTGGTATGAGAGCATTAGGTTGTACTTGTAACTATAGTTGTAAGTTTTTTAATTTTTTAATATTTAAAAAACATATAAAATGTATTTAATATTTATTTCAATTAATAATTTTATATATCTTTAAAATAATAAAAAATCAAAAAATAAAAACTAAAACTAAAGCACCTTAACCTAAGACCTTTTAGTTTTTTTTAAGACTTTATTAAAACAACTTAGTTTTAAAATTTTTTTACTTAATTTTTTACGTATACAATTGATAAACATTTTTCTCATTTCTAATTTCTTTGTACTCTTGCCTTCCAAGTAAGTTACCATTTTTATCTTAATTCTCAATGTCAATATCTTTTTATAAATTGGGAAAGTCTCAATTATTGGAAGGATTTTTGTAAATTATTAGCTTTTAAGATTATATATTTTGAATTATTATTATAAAGTAATGATATGCAGACAACTAATTTTTCACGATTTTTATTTTAACTTTCAAGTGCTTTGAATGAGTGTTGCATATATCACAAGTTTTGGTAAAGAAAAAATAGTTAAATATTAAATTATATAAAAAATTATACACAAAAAAACTTTCTTATCTACTCAAAAGTTGTATGGGATTCGTAAGGAATGAGATTTGGCTATTATGCCTGCCAACCTATAATTTAAGTCATATAATGGTAATTTTATTTCAATTGAAATAAAAGCTTTTGAGATCCTTTAAAAAAAAAAAGATTTTGAGATCCAATCCTACTGTGCACAAATGAAGTTGATAAAAGGGATGGTAAGAAAATTGTTTCCTACCATAAAACCCAAAAATAAAATAAAATAAAATAAGATTTTTTAAATCGATAATATTATAATTATAATATTATATAAAATTATAAGTTTATAATTATAACATAATATTAAATGAATATGACTTAACCTAAAATAAATAAATATATACAATATCACAATTATATTTTTAAGTGAAAAGAATTAATTATATAATAATATATTATATTATAAACTTATGATATTATGTGATATTTTAACTATCACAATATCATTTTTCAAGTATAAAAGGTATTGTTTTAAAAAAAATTGTAAGGGGGTTTCTTTTTTACAAATATTGGTAGAGAGATTTATTTCTCATTTCATTGATTTAGTTTGAGATATGCAAAATGTTAAAAAAAAGTTAATTTCGTATAAATTCTCTAAAAATGGCATATACAACGTGGACCGTCATTACTTAATTAGTTAAAAATTTAAACTTAATTTGAAACGGATTTTTTATCTCAAAATATCACCTAAACCATAAATTCAAAAGAAAACAATGGTTTATTAGTTTACTACCCCTCTTGCCTTTTTTCTTAGTTAGAGTTTGAAATTTTTTTTATAAAATTTAAATTATATAATTAGAGCCAATTTTTTTTCATCTTTGAAATCATCCCATCTATAGATTTATAACTCAAATATATGATTTTTTTATTAAAAAAATTATTACTAAATTATTTAAGGAGATGGATTGAATACTTTTGAATATTATATAATACCTAATTTAGGTGCAAAGCCAATTAGCCAAAGCAATTGGGTGAGGAAAATGGGTCCAAATTCGTACTTCCAATTTATGAGGGTAGTTTGGGAATAAAGACAGAAGGGCCTTGTGGTAATTTGAGCCGCAGAAGGTAAAGAACCCCATATTTTTCCCACTCTGTTTTTCAGGCCTCCATTAATGGAGGGAAGTTTATAATTCTCCTTCCAACCTTAAAAAGCTACATTTCCATTCTCCTGCTTCTGGCGCCATTTGCAGCACTCCTCCTCCGTTCAAACTTCTCCCTCCATTTTCCTCTTTCCCCAAAAACCCACCTTTAAAACAACTGTCTAATTCTCCTTGAACAACTTTTTTTAATGGAGGAAAAGGAGAGCACGGTATCAGGGTCACTGGGAAACTCCGATACAGACTCACCGACCGCACCGGTGAGCAGTATGATGATGCCTCAGGTCTTGAACATGAATATGGGCATGACCATGGAGAGAAGCATTGATGGGGCAGGACCTGCAGGGGTAGTTGTAGGGGCAGCAGAAACAACAGGATCAAGAGGTGGAGCGCTGGGGAGTGGGGCCGGCGGCGGCGGCGGCGGCGGAGGAGGAGGAGGCGGAGGTGTTGATTCTTCTGGGAAAAAGAAGAGAGGGAGGCCAAGAAAGTATGACGCAGATGGGAACCTGAGATTGCCGTATCCAATTATGTCACCACCTCCTGGGTTCAGTCTGTCGCCTTCATCTCCGCCGGAGTACTCTTCCAAGAGAGGCAGAGGCCGGCCTCCAGGCTCCGGCAACTGGCAACTTCTCGCTTCTCTAGGTAAGTTGAAATAAAAATAACATCTGGGTTTCACTTCATTCCCCTTTTTGGGTTTGTTTACTTGTATGCAAACTCTATTTGGCTCCCGAGAAAGTGCCGGAAAAGAAAAGAAATCAATGAAAAATTTTATGCTTGGTTGCATGTCTTATGCTATCATTCTTTTTTACTTTTTTTGGGGGAAAATAGTGCTCAACTTACATACCAAGAAAAAAAAAGGGAAAAACCATATCTAAATGTAAAAGAGTCTTAAAGACAAAAACACTTTTAGTTTTATTTCCTCCCATTTCTCACCAAACGCATGGTGGGTAGTTGATTCATGCTTCTTTAAGGAATTGAAAGATATCAAGTAATTAATGCTGGGTTTGACAAAAAGCAATATCTAATTCAACTTTTAATTACATTCATACATATAAAAATAAATAAAT